TATGTAATAAAATGAGCTTGATTGCCTGGTTGGAAAGAGACTTTCTTGACGTATGAATATATCACACATATATGATAGTATTTCAAATGTAACGTCACAACCTAATTAGACCCTAAAATGCAAAAGAATCATGAGCAATAAACAAATATCCTACAAGAACATTGGACATTATACAATATTTCCAGTATTATATACAGTACTTTAATAATGAAACCTCAATATGACCTTCTTTTTCTCTCGCGTTTGATTCCTAGCGCTCCTAAAAGCTTATGTTGACAGAGTAGTAGCAACAGATAAATACAGATTGAATTCAAAAACAAAACTCCTAACTTTATATCACTAAAATAAAATTGGAAGCCGCTAACAGACGCTCACATCCACACTGGCAAGGCAACACTGTCACTGACCCCTTCACTGCCAGGTCAAGAAACTGTCAATCAAAAACTCAGTAGCCAATGAGAACACACTGCTGCTAGCCCCGCCCCCACGAGAGATTTGTGTCAGAATGGCGAACGAAAACTTCAGAAGCGTAAATGAAAACTTCAGAAGCATAAACGGAAACTTTAGAAGCGTAAATTAAAACTCTGGAAGCGCATTTGAAAGTACAGATCAGCTAATGAAAGAAGAGAAAACAGTTGCAAAACATGCAGTGTATTAAAAATTAAGTCAAAGATTTTGCCCGCATTTAATTTTTTTTCAGTTTCAAAGACATTTGATTCAGTTTCAATTAATATTTCGATAAGTTTCTTGAAAATTACATTCATTTTAATTGACACAAAGGTAATCCCATACTTTCACAACAAAACACAGCGTCACACAAGGCGGGCTAGAGTGAGCGGTGGCGGGTGGGCTTTATTCGATGATATAGTCTATTTTTCCATTTAGAATTTTTTTCCACTTATTTTATGCACCGAATTTCTTGATAAATAATACAATTAATGGTTAAAAAAAATGCACTTTAGAATCGATATTTTTATGTGAGGATCGATCGATCCGCCCATCCCTATTGAATGCCATCGCTAATGATTTGAATAGACTTCGCTGGGGAAGAAGATTATCTTTGGACAATTACTTCAAAATCAACCTGGGCATCACACAAAGCTGTCATGTTGCTTCAGAAGACGCGCAATAATTTCGTGTGGATTATTTTTATATGATTTTGGAAATGAAGATTCACTGCATTGAAACATGGGTGAGTAAATAATGACAACATGCAGTATTTCTTTAAAACTGGACCACTAAGGCAGCAATAATTATTTAAGGTGCAACTGCTTAGCTTGTTCTGTTACAGCTTTTGGACGAATATAAATGAGTACCTGTGTAGGCAATTAAATAGTATTTTGGTGATTAATATGCATGACTTGGGTGGTGCCTATTGCCGCATTGACCAATAGTATTTCGACTCTCCAGCACGTCACGTCGTTACGCTCGATGACGTGCTGCGCTTGCGGAACAGGGTGTCGGCGTCCTTTCTGCGGCCGCAGCAGGTAGGATTTGAAACCA